GCGAGGGACGCGGAGCCGGCGGCGCCCCCGGCCCGGAGCGCACTGACAGCCGAGGCGCCCGGAGCCTCCCTCCCCCACCGCCCCCGCAGCTAGGGGACCCGCTTCCAGCCGCCCGGCCTGCGGGAGGGGGGAAGGGGCGGGCCAGGCCCGCGCGGGTCAGCTCAGGGTTATCCGTGCTCGCAGCTGCCGCTCCCCCGCCCCAAGGGGCTTGGCAGGGGCCCAGCGCCCCCACGTAGCTGGAAAACCACGCAGCGCGGGCCCAGGAGGCAGGACGCGACCTCCGGCCCCCGCGAACTCACCACTTTCCTACCCTTTGGGGTCTGGCGGCCTCAGCATTTTCCCCAATGCCTGCTAAGAACGCGGCAACGAGGCGGAGGATTGGGGTTCCCCACCCGCCGTCTAGTCGATAGAAAGGCAATCGGGGTGTAAGTCCTTGCACTGCGTCAGCGGGCTCAGAAATTCGCGTGGCTTTGGCCTTTGGCCCTGGGAAACCAAAGAGTGATCCTTTCCCCAGGAGCCAGAGTGGATGTGCGTCTCTGCGCGCCCGAGTGTGCACGCAGAATGGGCTGACGCCCGCGCGTCACTCAGTGGGGCGGCTGGGGCGGCGGGCGTCCCAGCACCGACGGCTACGCTCGGAAGGGCGCTTCTCTTCTCTGGCCACTGGAGCCCAAAGCCTGGCGATTAACTCGAAGCCCGTGGCCCCAAAGACAGCAGTTTTTCCCAGGAAGTCTCCCCGGCTGAGGTCTGGAGCTGCCTGACGCTCTAATAGGGCACGGCGAACCGAAGGCACAGCAACGTACCTTCCTCAACTGTGGCGGTGGCAGAGGCACCCGCAGTACGTTCCGACGGCCTCCAAGTCTCTAGAGAACCATGCTGGACCTCTGAGGGACAGCTGGGCGGACATTCCCTCTACTCCATCGGCTTTAAAAACAAATCCCTAGATTGCACAGGAAGTCCGTAAGGCATTTACGACTCTAGATTCAAGCATCAAATAATCAGAATTGCTTGTGGGGCCCCTTTCCTAGAGACAGCTCCCTAGTCAGAGTAAGGTGGCAAGCCGACCGTCGCTACTCGTCACCCATTGTGAGCTTCCGTGCGCCCAGATCTTTCTGTGGTCCCCTTGCCTCCTCACCCTCTTTTTCGTGAGATTGAGCCCTCGCCTAACTCAAGGCCGCCCCACATTGGCAGATACTAAAGCTCCAGTTCCCTAGCTGAGAAGTGGGTAGGTTTTATTTTCTGATGAGGGGCTTCAGACCTCCCCCCATCAAATCTCCACGGGCTCGTTTAAGGCTTCTTTCAGCAGACTTTCATCTACAGTAGTGAGCCCGATCTTTGCTTTGGGAACCTGGAAGCATTGTAAATGGTGCTTCCATAAACAATTATTATTATTCTCATTATTATTACTCCCTTGAGTTTGTACGAGGCTTTCCTGGAACGCAAAACGCTATTCAGTGTCATCCAAAATCTGAGTTGGAACCAATCACAGCGCTGAGACTCAATCAGGGTGGGTCTCACACTCGGGTTTTATAGATGGAAACGGGCTCCTGGAGAGGGGGAGACCGAGCCAAGGTCACCCGACCGGTGTTGGACGCCCAGAAGTCATTTTCTCCCTGACGGCAGAAATAGCTGGATGCGCTTAGGTCAGCGCAGGTTGGGTGGGCACCGCCCGAACCCGCCAGCCACATGGCGGAGGCCGTGGCGGAGCGGCCCTGCAAGTGTGCGCGCCTGTTGTGGGAGCTCTCCCGCCCGAGGCGGATGCGTGCAAACTTGCACAAAGTTCTGACGCATGGAAGCGGCCTTTAAACTGCGACAAGCAGAAAAGCTCATCTCCAAGGAAAAGGAAGCACCTGGCAGACGTCGCCGAAAGTTCTGGCTGGGAAAGTGGGCTCTTTGCTGTTGGAAACTCGGAAACTCGATCCAGACGGGAAGCGGGCCAGGCTGGCGGGAGGAGTCCGGGACAGCCGTGCCCGCACCCTGTGGCGCCGCTACTCGAGCCTCACTCTCTTGTCCCAAGTTCCCCCGGTGTCTCCCCTCCCAGGGGCGCGCAGGTGCGCTTGCTTGTGCGTGCGTGCGCGTTTTGACAAGAGAGTAGAGTCGCGTGGCTGTCAGCGCCCGCAACCCATCCCCTGAGTTTCGGGGATGCTGGGCTTAAACAGACTAAGTGCACGGAGTGAATCATTCTTTCTCTTCCGTTTCGAGAACACTTTTGGGGATGGGGCCCCGGGCGCGGACGCAGCCCTTCACTCTCTCTCTGGCGAGGGGTGTTGCCTCGGCTTTCTCGCGCCCAAGACTCCACGCAAAGTCGGGCAAACAGCGCCCTCTAAGGGACATCCTCTAAAACAAACCCGCCGGTTCCGCGGGGAAAACCACAGTCCACGCGGAAAGCATTTAAAGGCCATCGCGGTTTTACCCTTCCAGACCTTGGCTAGAGAACAAAAGCTTTCCCCCCACCCCGCTCTGGATTCCGAGAGAAGCAGAGAGTGAAATCGCCTGCAGATCTCTGCTGGTCTTTACCTGGCCGCCATGGAAAGTGGTCTCGCCGACCTCTCACTCTCCTCCCCGCCTTCCTTTCCCTGTTTTAGGGCGCGTTTAATGTTCCGGCTGGTCACCGATCCCTGAGGTGCCCATCCTGACTGCCGGCTACATGTGAGCGCCTGGGAGGGCGGAGGGCGCGGGGCTCTGGTTCGTTTTCCCAGGACTCGGTGCACGGATGGCCAACCAGTGGTGCCGAGTAGCCGCCGTGTTAACGCCCGAGTGAGTGACAGAGGGAGTGAGTGAAGGAGTGAGTGGGCGCGTGGGTGCGTGGGTGAGTGAGTGAGCGAGCGAGCGAATGAATGAACGCACAGGCCCCATTGCAGAGGATTTGCCTATCTGGTTAGGGTCTTCAGGTAGCCCGATCATATTCAAAAACAGTTTCTAAGAAGTTTAATGAGAACCTGAGGTTTCCTAATGACAGATTTCACCGAACCTAAAGGAGCCCCAGGGACAGGACCACGAGAGAGACATTGCACAGGCTGATCCAAGGTGATGGGCTGTGTACCACTCCCCAGAAGGACAAGGAATCCAGAGCATACAGGGAGGCTGGGGAATGCTAGTGACTAACCCCCAACCTTTACACAGAAGAAAGGTCTGGCAAAGGAGCATTGAGAATGGTGCTCTTACCTACCTCTCGCCCCGCCCCCCACAACCATCACACCCCCAGAACATGTGTACATGTCTGCACACATACAAGTCGGTAAGTAGTGAGTTCCCCAGGAGGGGAGCATTTCCATATTCTCTAAAACTTCCCCTCCTCCCCTCCATAGAGGCCTTCCGGAAATGGCTTCGTGGACGGTGCTTATCCAAGGAGTAGGAGGAGCTGCTTAGGCATCTTACCAAGGCTGCAAAGTTCCCAGGCATGGAGGCTCCCCGCCACAAGCCTAGCCAGAGGTCGTGGTGGGCACATTTTAACACTTAACTCTCCTGATCTGCAGGTCCTTGATCTGTAGGCAGAAGGGACAAAAGCCTGGAGGTGTGATCCTGGGGACTCTGGTCCCCAGGCTATGTGTGCTCTGGCCCACTTTCCTGGAAAGTTCTCTCCCATCTGTTCAATGCTGCCAGGAACACTGCCAAGGACCCCTCCCTTGGGCTGAAGACTGTGACTCAGGAAATGCACAGCCCTCAGAGAAGGGTCATGGCCATGCTGTCTTTGATCGCATATGTATTGTGAGGCACATGCAATGTCCTTAGAGTGGCTGAATGTCTCATCCCTTCCTGAGAGTAAAGGTGATAATTACAAATAGAGATGATGTCGGCTAACAGTCATTGAGTCCTCATCATATGCCAGGCCCTATCACCTGGCGAGGCAGGTACTGTCATTATTCCTATTTGACAGACAAGGAAACTGAGGCACAGAGAGCATGAAAAAGGGGAGAGAGTTCTAAATACGTGGAGCCTCACAGGGTTGTTACAAGGACAGAGCGGACGTTCAGTAAGCACTATGTAAGTACTGGCTCTTGTTATTCTTCAT